ATATTTTGTAAATGTGTTAAAGCGATTGGTAATGTTATTTTAATAAAAAATATCTTTTTATCTAAAAATGGCACGCAAGAATTCTCAGCGTATTATTTGTCGTTTCTGACATCATGATTTTCAATATGACTGCAGTGATTATTCAGGAGTCCTAAACTCTTTCAGAATTTGTATTAAATGCATCTTTGATGATTTGCGGAAAATTTTTTATGTATTCCAAAGCATTAAAGTTTTTTGTATCATTTTCTTAAAATTTAAATAGCGGAAATTTGCAATATATTAGCATAAAAATAATAATTTTTTAATGGAAAAGACAAAAAGCAGAAACAAGACAAATTGTTTGTCACAATATTACTTTACAATACTATTTAAATATTCTAAAATATTGTCGCGTAACAAAATAAAAATGAACACACAGATACTATTTGAAATAAAATATCAGTACGGAAAACTGGCTTGTTTACGTTTAAATTTAAAACATCTCTCATCCCGAGTGAAATTCAAACTAGAGAAAACTTTCCGTACATTCCTTGATAACCGCAGCCCGTTACTTAACCTGTTAACTAACTTCTAATTTTAGACAAAGTCAAAGACAAGCGCGGCCACTTTTGTACTTGATTTACTTTTGTAGAGGAAGAGATCTGACGCTTGTCGACGGGAATGCAGTCTATTTAGGCGCCTAAATTTACTTGAACATTTAGCGCTCATTATTCTTGCAATTGATTTTTTATACAACGCAATATAGTTTCTGTTCTAAAGTAAGAAAAACAACTCGTGTTTGCTCCTGTTGCTATTCCAAAATCAAAATATTCTTCTCATGGTATGTGTAACAAAATATTTTTCTCATCTTCGTTAGTTAAAAGTTTTTAAAATTAGTTTTGAATTATTATTTTTATATTTCTTTGTATCTTTAATTTCTACTTTAATTTTAATTATAACTTCTAAGTTTAATTTCAAATAATATTAATCTTAAATTTTTTATCTTCAATATGTATAAATCTTGAAAAGAGAGACTATAAAAATATAAATTATGAAAAGAAAACTAATTTTTAATAAAATAAACTTCAATTTTAAAATTTTAACACAAAAAAAAAGATAGAAAGAATCTTAAATTCAAAGATAGCATATTTTTTCTATCAAGAAATACGACTGTATCCGCATTAAATCATATGCAATGAGACGAATCATATATTTATCAGCGAACTGACTAATTGAGAATATTTTAAATTATCGGATCTCAGTGACTAGACTTATTAAATTCTTAATAGATTGTGCTAGTAATCGATAGCTTTGTGTTTTACATATAATAAAAATATCTTTATTTTTTTTTATTATTCTGTAAATAAAAATAATTATAATTTAAAATTTCATTTTTGAAAATGTCGCTTTATTTCAAATATAATGTATTTTCACAATTTCCAATATTAAATTCGTGCTAGTAATCAATACATACATACACACACATATATATATATATATATATATATATATATATATATATATATATATGTTATACATATATCCTTAAATCAATCACATAACTTATAATGTCGGTAGTAAATATAGTTTACAATTTGAAATTATTATCAGAATCATTGATTAATAGTAATAGATTTGATTAATAGATTTTGAAATCAATCATATCATTGAGGTGATACATGACATAACGTGTTGCAAAATAAGAAATAAATTCTCAGCCATCAGAAGAGTGTTCTTAAATTGCTATAAGATTTTACGAGGAACCATTACGTCGAACATAAATAGTCTGAGAATAGTGAAAATCTATGTCGAACAGATCAGATAATGCAATAAAATTCAAGAGCTTTAGCTTGATATTCGCAAAAATCAGGATCAAGATAGATCTCTGATATGTGAAATATAATGTGTAAATTCTTTTTACTTACCATCTACAAAATCGGTAAAATTCAGCAACATTTTGCTAAAAAAATGCATTCTTCACACCTAAATTCGTCCTGCAAAAATATTAAGTGATGAGGAAATCTTATGGAATAGGCAAGGTTAAATTGTTAGTATGTGTGTCCGTGTGCATATGCGAGCATATGTACAAGTCCATATAAAAAATATGACAAAAGTTTTTAATCAAATTTATTTATAAAAGAATTATAAAATGTTTATATTTTTGTAAAGTAAGAAAATATTTTACTTTTTCACACATAAAATTATCTTTATTTTTGAACAAATTATATTAATCACATATTATATCCATTATACCTACTTATTAACTCTTTCCCTCTCTCCCTCATTCTCTCTCTCTCTCTCTCTCTTTCTCTCTCTCTCATCCAATTATACTTATTTTCTCAAAAATATATCTCTAAAGATATGTTACATCTTTTTCACTAACTCATACGCTAAGCCCTACGAGTAACATAAATAGGAATAACTACCCAATCACACAGCAATGCACAAAACTGCAAGTGCACTACTCTCTTTCCCGATAATATAGAAAGCACATATTATACAAATCTCGCAAATAATCATCGTGTGAAACGATACTTCCTATAGTCCTGAATTTAATAGGAGAGTAACTCGTTAGAGTATACCAGACCCCCTTAAGTTTTATTCTTGAGAATTTCCAATCAATGATTATAATTATTAATCAGTTTAATATTATACGATTTTGTGTTAAAAATATATAAATAATAAAATATACATTTTCTCAAATATAATTTTTTTGTTATATAATCGTTTTATTTTATATTACATATATAATATTAAACAATAAATTAAAAAGATATATTTCAAACATAACTTACTTGTTTTGTTTTTTTACATAATTTCTTAATAGCACTTTTGAATTAATAATTATTAATAATTGTACATTAATCGTATGTTAACATATTGAACGCATTTTATAATTTTATCTGCAAATTAAATTAAAATTTTCTTGACAAAAAGAATAACATAGTAACAAATTTAATTAATTATTGTATAGCAGTTCCAAAAGAAATCAATGATTTTTATTTCTTAAATTAAGTGTTTTAAATAGAAATCTTAAAAAATTGTGAAAAAATTTCCTATGTAACTTATGCTATAAACTATAATTTATTAAAAATTATCATTTTTTATTTCTTATATTAAGTGTTTTAAATAGAAATCTTAAGGCTCCGGAGTACTCACCATGAAACTCTGAGTTGACGGTGGCGACATAGGTTAAAAGTGAACTATAAGGCGTGAAAAATGGCCTCGTAAGTGAGAAATGACAGCCCAATTTACGTTGTGTCCCATTTCATAATTATTTGCTTTGTGCTAGTGTTGTGATGTGCAATGTATTAAGAAAACTTGTAAAAATGGACGGATACTAAGCTGTATAAGAAATAAACTTTAGAAAGTAATATTTTCCTCTCCTTTCGACAGCTGTCAAATCGCGTGTTTTTTCGCATTTTCAAGGTTTCATTTCGGACTCAATTTACGGCTATTTATAACTATTGTGAAAGGAAAGGATTATAGTATCCGTCCATTTTTACAGGTGTGCTGAAGAGATTGGTAGTCTTATTTCATTCAAATATGTTTTTATTTAGATGTCAGTCGCAATATAAATCTGGGTGTCCTTTCTCGCTTATGATGTCATAATTTAAAGATGGCCGCGGTGACTACTCCGGAGCCTTAAAAAATTGTGAAAAAATTTCCTATGTAACTTATGCTATAAACTATTATAACTAAATTATAATAAATATAATTTATTAAAAATTATCATTTTACATAAACGCAATATCTTTGCAATTATATTGTTTCTTCTCTTTTGGCGAATAAGTCAATATAAAAAAATTTTTTGGAAAATTTCAAAATACATCTGCACATATCTATGATAAATATACCGTGTTGCTAAAGCGCCGCGCGTCGCCATTATGTAGAGCGCCATTTTGTAGAGCGTCGCACTCACTGTTTCTCCGCGCCTAATATCAATTAACAGCTGTTCTCGTCGCTACGCACTTCTATTCTCGCAGATTGGGCCATCTTTATAATTAATTTTTCATTAATTATTGCAAAGATCGCGAAACAGTAGAGGACTTTCCTTCCTAATTTGAGTTACTCTACTTTAGATGTATCAAAAATTATTGAACACCCTATATATACAGAGTGTTTGATAAAGATTGGACCAACGCTTGTGAGTGAATAGAGCCTAGTAAACTAAATAGAAAAGTCCTTTATCATTTTGCAATTTTTACAATAATTGCAAAATGGTGAAAAAATGTACAAAACTTTTTTGTTTGGTATGCGCTCTATACATTTATTCTGTACATATGCTCAAAATTCAAATGTTAGGATGTGTTAAATTTACTCTTTTAGTGCAATAAAATCTTATTACTTATTACTTCTATAAAGTGGAAAGAGCGGAAAATTGGAAAAAATTAAAAGATACGTTCCTCTACTAATCTTTTATATTATTATATAAAAGTTTGTGTGCTTCCTTTATCATGATGCAAAGGTTTCCAATCGCTGTATGCTTGTGCGAATGCATATGCGTGTACGAAGCTGTTAAATTATATATAGATGCGTGCGGCATCATCAAGCTTATTATAAACCTGGAAAGGGCAACATTAATGTTTGTGAAAGTATATATGGGAAAATACTAAAATTAATAGGACTAAATTTAAGGAAATTCTGTATTGTGGATAATATTAAATTACAATTCCCTTTAGTTTTAATTTTATAAATTTATTTAATCATATATAGTTAAAAACATTTGCTTACAATATTGATTCTACTATTTTAATTAATTTATTTTTGACGACATGTAATTGTAAGTTTCTAACTATATATAAACAGTTATTTATAAACAGTTATATATAAACAGTTATTTATTCATGAATATACAAATATATTTAATCAAAAAAATTCCGTATACAATAAAATATACTTCCCTCCTTATTTATATATCTTACTTATATATATTCAAGAATTAAATATTTTAAGTTTTGCTCTATATCAATTTAATGATAATAATTAATTTGATAATAATAATATACATATTCGTTTTTATATGAAATAAAATTTACGCAACTATCTATCTAACCATACAATACTTAATTAGGAATCATATTCATATATTATAACGAATAAATTAATTCTCGTCATCATTATCTATCATCACTATCTTTCTATAATAAATCATCAATACAAGATCTTGCAAGAATCTTATAAATATTTAATGGAATTAATGTTATTAACTGCACTGTCGTAATTAAATTTAGAACTTTTATGTAAAATGAGAGACTTTTTTAGACGGGTGTTTCGATGCATACTCTATAGATAAATTTTCCATAATCTTCGCAAAAGGTTTCACTCTCAATTTACCAATTTTTTCATCCTGTTTTTCATCCTGTTTTTCATGAACGAGCGTGGTTGTAGATTTGGTTGTACATTGATTCAAATTATTCTCGACATTGTCGTCATCATCATCATCCAGAGTAATAATTTCAGGAGTGTTTTTTGTTGTGTTTTTCTCCTTATCATCTATTTTTCTCATATTCTGAGAGTTCGAGACACCTGTACGAGTATGAGAATTTTTCAAATGACTTTTATATTTATTTTCATCAGTAAATGTACATAGACATAATAAACATTTTATTAGGGAAATCTCTTGAATCTCTGATTGATTAAATAGGTTAATTATATTAGTTCGAATAGAATCTACATGAGCATATTTCAGATGGGCATGAAAAAACATCAAAGATGGATATTCTAATGAACATAAAGGACACGTATAACTAGAATTCGGATTGTAAGTGCTCATTGGGTTTTGATTTGTAATTTCATTGCTTTTCGAACCTTGTGGTACAAGAAACATAGCTTCGAATAATCCAGAGTTATTATGGATAAATTTATTTGATGACGATGTTGAGTTGGTTTCAAATTCATTGATCGACCCAGATTTTATAGAATTTGTATAACTTTTTGAAGGGTTATTAGATGATTCTGATTCAATGGATAGAGGAATTAAGGAAGGTTTATAAGGAAAATAATTAGTTAATGCAATAGCTATAGAGTTTGTTATATTAGCTGGTAATCTAATAGATGGTATCGTAGAAATGTCCGGTATAGTTTTGTTATTTTTCGAAAGCGTAATCTGATTTGGTAATTCGATATTAGTTTTACCTTTTATTCCATTTTTATTTGAAATATTATTTGGGAATTCATCTTGAAGAAATAGCGCTGGGTTATCTTCAAATGTTGCTACCGATGTTGCTGATGTTGATGTTGTAGCGACTATTACTGAGGTTGACCTTGTAGTTGCTACTGTTGAGGTTACAATTGTTGACGATGTTGTAGTTGCTGTTGTTGATGTAGTTGCTACTGCTAATGTTATAGTTGCTACTGCTGATGTTGTAGTTGCTATTGCTGATGTTGTAGTTGCTACTGCTGATGTTGTAGTTGCTACTGCTGATGTTGTAGTTGCTACTGCTGATGTTGTAGTTGCTACTGCTGATGTAGTTGCTACTGCTGATGTTGTAGTTGCTACTGCTGATGTTGTAGTTGCTACTGCTGATGTTGCTATTGTAGTTGCTGATGTTGCAATTACTGTTGATGTTGTAGTTGCTATCGCTGATGTTTGATCAGCTTCAACTAACTGTTGAACGGACGGTTCGCAAATATTGTCGCTTTCAATAATGGAAGGTGTAGGTTTTATACCAGTGCGTTTGGCAAATAAATCTTCAATATGCGTTTGAATTATATGTGTCTGGATAGCATTAGCAGAGAAAAATTTCATGTCGCAGAACAAACAATTATATCTGCATTTTGCTGTATTATGTGTATCGTTAGATTCAAGTTGATATGTTATTATTTTACTTACAGTATTCGAAGGTAATGTCTGTTTACAATTCTTAGAGTCATCGGCATTATTGCATTTGAATGCAATATCGTTCGAATGAAAATGTTTTTTGTGACATTCCAATGAAATAATTGTTTCCAAAACTTCGCCGCAAATGCAGCAAACATATCCATTATAAATATCACGGCAAATGTGAGTTAATGTTCTATGTTGATAAAGTAGATCAAGTGTTTTACATTGCCTTTTGCATCTATCGCATTTAAAATTGCCGTCATTAGAGTAAAGTGCTGTATGCTTTTCCATATCATCAGCATCTATACATTTTAGTTGACAAATATGACAAATGTATTCATTAGGCAATTGTTCAATTTCTTTTTGATTTGTTGAATCTCTAATTTGTTCTTGAATATCGGATGTGTGATCAAATTGGCTTTTTCCTTCAGATTCTTTTGCAATCTCACTCAAATTTTCTTCATTTAAATGGACATGCATATTGTGCGAATGAAAATGAGATTCATGGCTAAATCCTTCGCCGCATATTTCGCAAATATAATTATAAGATTTACGTTTATCTTCTGAATAATGTGTGAGTTTGTTATGATGATTCAACATATACATTCCCTGAAAATTTTGTCCACAGAGCGAGCATAAGAATGTATGATTCTTGTAATAATACATTTTGTGTTCTGTGTAACGGTTATGCGTCTCAAATACTAAATTACATATATTACACATTGCGGGTTGAGTATCTGATTTCTCTTGATTCGCGCGAGAATCGTGCGTGATTGTGTCAAGTATTTGTTGGCCATGCAGATGTAATATATGAGATCGCAGTTCATATTTTTTAAAAAAACCTTGATTACAAAACATACAATGAAAACTGTAGGTTTTTGAAATTTGTGGTACATGTGCCGCAGTAATATGCGATTGTAGGAGACGTTTTGAACTGAATGCAGTGCCACATATCGGACAGATATCAGTAGTATTACTAAAACTGCGTATGTGATGCTGCAAATTTTTAAGGGTATGAAATTGTTTTCCACATATATTACAAGGAAAAATGTTAATTTTTGGTTTAATGACTTCCAATTGCGCACTCGCAGTATCTTGGTTACTAATCGAATTACTATTTTCTAAAAGTTTTTCAGAGTTCCGTGATTCGTCGATAATCTCCATTTCCTTTGTAGCTAAGTTATTATTAACAGAAGATTTTTGTTTATCTTCATTAATTTTTGGCTCTTCATTAACTTCTGAATCTTCTTCAATAACTTTTGAATTTTCTTCATTAATTAGTGATTTCTGATGTTTGTTTGTCATTTCTATAGAGTTTTTACTTGAGCATTCATCAAAATGAGTATTTTTATCATGTATAACTTTAAGTCCATTGGTATTCTTGCTGCGCTGCATCTTGAGAATAATTTTTGGGAACGCATTTATCTTCTGTATGGAATCTTTTTGATTTTCGATCATTTCTTCTTGTAGTATACAAAAACTTTGATGCATCATCAAAGTAGACTGCGTTGCGAATGCTTGATCACATTGAAGACATTTATAATTGTTTTTTATCGAGCTGCATTTTATCTCAATATCTATTGGACATTGATCATTTTCTCTTTGAACATATTTCAAACAATGAAGAGTTAAGTGTCGCCTCAACTCTACATAATTAGATAAGAATATATAACAAACGCAACATTGATTTTGTTTAAGTAGATGTTCACTCAAATAATGTTGAAGTAATTTATGTTTCAGCTTAAATCGTGCGTCGCATATACTTGACATATATCCTACATGAGATGACTTAATGTGCATATGCTTGTCCAATTTTGAAGAAAAACTTTTCTTACAAACTTTACATAAAAAAGAATCATTATTGCATTTTTCGATGTCTGACACTGTCTTCATTTTTGTAATATCTACAGCTGAAACAGTTGTTAAACGTTCCAGAGAAACTTCTAAGTTTTTCAACACTTTATTCAACATTTTATTTTGTATATCATTTTCTTGAAATAACATAGAATTGCTTTGAGAAGGAACAGAAATGTTTTCATTAGACGTCATTTTAACTGAAGGAATTTGATGACAATTTCTTATCTTCTCATCGCATCTTGTTAAAATAATTCTACAATCCTTACACTTAAAACGAACCATAATAGGTTCCCAAAAGTTGGAATCTGTTTTACTTGAATTAGTCTCATTATGTTCCGTTCTAGTACTAGTACGTTCTGCGTTAGGTTGAGATTTCTTAAGTATGTCTTTGCTGTTCCTCTTCCTTGAATTTGAAATTGTTTCCATGGAAGATATAGTTCTTAGAGACCGTAGACTATATGGCACTTCATGATAATATGAAGCAATATCATTCTTTTGATCTTTGATTACTTTATCTTCAATAGTTATATTTGGAAGTTTTTCCAAAAAAGATTTCATCATTTCAACATCCGCATGTAATTTTACAAATGGCTTTTTGGGCATTTCGTGGCTTTGGATATTTTTATCTTGCTCCAAAGTAGAATATGCCGTTTGTCCTGAATTACTTGATTTTGTAGATAAAGAATCAACTTGTTCATTACACATTTCTGAAAACTTCGGTTTAAAATTTTTTGCTGTTTTTTCACCATGAAATAAAGTAGACGAAAAATTATCTTTCATAATGTTAAATTTATTTAGACTGGCACTAACATCGCGTTTTCTTTTGCAGAGCTCAAGATATTCCGTTAATGTTGGTTGCCGTAGTTTTTTCGTAGGTGACATTCCATCACTGAAAGATTCTTCAGTTTTTAAGCTCTCAGTCTTTGTCATATCATCATCGCTCCCGGAACTATTATTATTTATAAAATTAATATTTCGTTTCTTTGATTTAACAAGATTATTTGCACATAGTGACTTTTCATGTGCATCAGTCAAAGTATTATTTTCACAAAGTATATTTTCATTCTTAGATTTTGCATTTTCACATTCAGTTATGTTATTGGAATATATTAATTCATTATGCACATGAAACAAGTGTGATTGTAGAAGTATTTTCTTTCTAAAAACACGATTGCAAAAGTTACAATATATGCTTGAGGGATTATTGACCATTGACTGATTATGTGTTACATTGTTACATTTCATGGTATGCAAATGAAGTTCCTTGAGTGTTATATAAGGCTTTTTACATTTTGTGCATTTATAATTTCCAATATAATATTGTTTATGAGTTTCACAATATCGAAAACAAGAAAACTTCCTAAAACATATGTTACATTCAGTGGAAACTTTTCTTTTTGATGGTCGAGCTGTGTGTTGCTTTTTGGTTCTAGAATCCGATGTAATGCTTTGTCGTTTTCTTCTTTTTCTAAATTTTCTTAATTTTCCAGTTGTTTCCGTAAACATATTCATATTTTCATTTTTAGAAATTTGGAAATCATTAGCACGCTTTTGTTTCTTCTGTGCAAGTTCTGTTCTGTCGCGTGCTTGTTCTGTTTTCGTTCTTTTACGTTTTAAATTCAAAATTTCATCTGCACTATCTATGTATGCTGAATGACCATTGGATATTTGTTTATTTTCTTCATTATTTATGATTTTGTGCAAAACATCGTTTTCTGGTAATGATACTTTGTCATGATTGATTATATTAGAATTTCTAATTAACGTATCATTTTTCAGATAAAAATTTCTAACTAATGTCTCCGTCGTGCCAGTATTTAGTGTCGTATCATCAGGCTCTTCTTTAATCTTCATTCCATTTTGGATCTCTGTATCACGCTGAAAAATATGTAAGTGTAATTTAATTTCTTAAATTTATTTAAAACAAAATCTACTAATTGTAAAATAAAAAAAAAAAAACTAGAAGGCTAGAATTATAGCTATTAAATAACAGCTAATTTCATTACAGCTAATAGCATCACAATACTTCTAGAACAAATTTTATAGGTTATGAGGAAATAAAGCAGAGTCCCTTGTTATAGGATTTAATTTAATATGTCGTGCAATCCTTTCTTTCAATATGCATAACGCAATGACAATAAAAAGATATAAACAAAAAGAAAAGAATAATGCACTATCTTAATAATAAGGTAGACGCGAAATAAACAATAAACACACGTGCTACGAACAGCGGGGCGGAAAAAGGAAGGAAACAGGCAGATCCGCGCACCGTGAAACAAAGAACCTCTCTCCGCGAAATTCAAACTTCTATCAAATTTTAAAGTACATTTTTTTATAAATGATCGAGACAGTCCCATTAATCCACATCCACATAAATCGACCTTGCTTCGTCGTGATTGATTATATTAAAACAATTTATATTAATATTAACTTAACTGTCATTTTTCAGATTAGAAAGATTCATAACTAATGTCTTTATCATATCAGTATTTAATACCATATGAATTTAAAAATGAACCAATATAACCAGCAAGACTAACCAATCAGAAAGTCTTAGTATTTAATTGGCCAATTGGTAATGTAGGCTATCAGATCCCACGCAAGTAACCACTGTAGAAATTCAGCTTCAAACAGTTAATGTACGAGGTCCGAAAAGTATCCGACTTTGTGCTCTAACCTTGTACCTGGGTGTGCTATTATTAAAAATAGGTATTCATTTAGGAGGGACCTTTATGAGTATCCCTGCCAGGCAGCACGGTCTTTCAAGTCTTCAGTCAACAACGGTACACTGTTGACTAAACGTTGAATTTCGTGCGCGTCGCATTTCACGATGACTGAACGCATCGAACAAAGAATGTGCACGTACATTTTTGCCAAAAACTCGACCATTCGTGTTCGGAAACCATCCACATGATTCGTAAAGTATATGGCGATGAATCCATGAGTGATCCTCTTAAGGGAAGAAGATTCGATGACGTGGAGGAAATAAAAAGGAAGGCGACGAAGTGGCTGTTAGCTTCCGAAAGCTGAATACAAGGAGTGTTTCCGAAAGTAGAAGGATCGCTGGAAGAAGGTTGTGGTTTCCAAAGGGAAGTACTTTGAAGGGGACATCGTCGCCATTGATCAGATTTAGCTTTTTCCCCTGCTACAGCACAAGGTCGGATACTTTCCGGACAGACCTCGTATAGATGTACAAGTGTTTTAAAATGAATATATTGTTAATAGTTTGGCTCAAATAAAATAAAAATTAAATAAAAAATTGGCATAAGAGCCACAGCGCGGTAGTTGGAGCACAGGGAAGAAACAACACTTTCTTCTTATTATTTGTTGTTTATTTCAATCTAAAAAACTACAAAAATAATGTTTCGAATCGTCTTTGATCCCTCTTCAGCGCGATTAACAATAAAAAAACAAACTATTATATAATAAAAAAGATGAAAAATCCTCGACTTTATCCTTTCCTCGACGCATAGGTGATGCCAAATTGCACCGCGCGGAGATCTAGCAAACGTGCTGCTTCCAAAAGTTCATTAAAACATTAAAATTTTGCTGTGCAAAATCGCAGCAGATCAGATTCCACGCTTTTTCTTTTTCAATCCGTACACTAAATGGCACCAAGTACAGTGATGCCAGAATGGACGTTCGCACCCGACAACGCAGCAGAGGGGACAGGATTGCCCAAAGTGTTGTTTCTTCCCTGCGCCCCAATTATCCCCAATTAGTCCCAATCGCATTGTGGCTCTTATGCCAATTTTTGATTTAATGAATATATTGTATTTCCATTAGATATAAATTAAGTAATACATCAATCTCTCAAGAATAAATTGATTTATTTTTGTTTTTTAATGCAAGAGGATATACCTACGTGTAGAGAAAGTACAAGGATTTCTAAATATCCCGAAATAAATTTTTTTCTCTCAAACCCAATCTTTTCGAGATATTTAGAAGTTCTTGTACTTTCTCTACGCATAGTATACCATCTCGCGTTAAAAAACAAAAAAATTCAGTTTGCTTTATCTCAGCGAAGAAAGTTAGATCATAGCAATCGAATATGTATTAGAAGGAGTAAAATATCATAACAAAAAAAAAGTTTGATAATGATTCAAAAACTATCAGAAAAGTTTCATCGTCACGGTCAAATTCATTTACCCATCTTTCTTCATTTATTAATTCCAAATCGTGGAATTTTAAAGCATACGCATACCCTGACTATTAAATACTAAACACTACTATGTATGTACATACGTCTAAAAATCGAGTCGCATTCGACAGTCCATATTATCAATCGGCCAGATGAATATTAGAATCTTCTGATTGATCAATCATATTGATTGATTCTATATGTCAATATAGATATAATTATATATGATATCTCTATGTGTCTAGGTCGATATGTATAGATGTATGTTCGAAATTATGCTATCGAATTTTTCCCTTCTTTGCCCTTCCTCTACATAAACCTAACTTAACCTAATCTAAAGCGATCTAATCTTTGATTAAAGTTATTAATCGAGACAGTGCTTAAGTCTCGATCTATAATAGGTAATTTAAGCCCTAAACTTTAAGAAATTGACCAATCACAGTTGAGTATTCTCTTCATACTTGACTATGATTGGTCTCTTAAGACTTAAGGCTTAAATTACCTATTGTAGACCCGGCCTTAGTCTACATTTTTAGTTTACATCCAATCCTATACTATACAATCCCGATTTATTTCGAAGCGAAGTGAAATTTCTTTAGTCTAAACCGATTTAATTCCGTTTTATTTCAATCCACTTCAATTGTTTTCTAAGTAAAGTAAAACAGATTAACAAAGAATAAAATAAATGTAGTGTACTTCCCAATCCCGAGATATTTGGTTACATCAATAATGAAATTATAGTTGTAAGTTGACGATTCTGACATTTTTCTTTCATTCTGTTTTCAGTAGGAGTAAGATCAATCCAAAATAAATGTTCCCTTAAATTCAATTCATTTTAGAATAAACCTGGATTAGACAACTGGATGTAAACTAAGTCTAAGTGTAAATACTGTCCCATCAAAATTACGTCCAACAGAAAATATATATAATCAGGAATATTTGATCATACACGGTTATATTTCATTGGTAATAATGTAAATTGGAAGACTCTCAATCACATGATTAGATAATTATTTACATTAACGAACACTTCATCCAAGGATTGGCTTTCACATATGCTGTAAGGATGAACTTGCTGATCACTTTAATGTTTATGCTTTAATGATTTCGTTTTATTTGGCATATTTTTGAGATATTGAATAAAAAAGATTTATTGTTTAAAATGTAATTTTCAGAAACCTTATCTATTTAATACACAAATTATTTGTATTAATTACTTGTTTAAAATGTATATGGAGTATTTATGTTATTAAGTAAGGTCATTTAATCGCAATACCTCACTCACATAGTCTTCACGAATTTTGTAGCATCATTACGAGAAGAAATTGATTGATTATATAAGCCCACGAAAATTTGAGTTTTGTTAGTTACAAAATACAAAGTAGGTGAATCTGGTAGATTTTTTGATGCTGAAAACAAGTCTGGCCATAGAATTTCATCAGCACATCAGGTTTTTGAGTAATTTTGCGGCAAAAAATTGTACGGCAACAATTGAAAATTGCATGATTAATGCAATGCATTAACTATAATGCATCATATAATTAATCTTGCATCCCTTCCCGTGTGTGTGTGCTAGTGCTATTGGTATGGTTTTTGGCTTTTATTTAGAAGCGGCTTTCTCACAAACGTTTTAATTAGTATCTTCGTGACTCGTTCCAGCACACGTCCCAGTAGCGCACATCGTCGTGCGTTATCGGGAAAGAAACGCGTCTTTTCTCGTTAGTACACGTCCCAGTAGCGCACATCATCGTGCGCTATCGGGAAAGAAACGCGTCTTTTCTTGTTAGCACACGTCCCAGTAGTGCACATCGTCGTGCGCTATTGGGAAGTGTGCTATCGGGAAAAATATAATTATATAATGTGTGCTATCGGGATAGTGCTTCCAACATTTCGTGCGCTATCGGGATAGTGCTTCCAACATTTCGTGCGCTATCGGGATAGTGCTTCCAACATTTCGTGCGCTATCGGGATAGTGCTTCCAACATTTCGTGAGTTATCGGGTTAATGCTTCCAACATTTCGTGTGCTATCGGCACTATGTGTTATTTTCTTGTATGCTATTGGGATAATGTGCGTATTACTTGGTGCGTTATCGGGATTGTGCGCGATTTACTTTGTATGCTATTGGGTTGTGCGCTATCCCACCGTGCGCTAACGGGACCCTGCCGTTTGGTATGAGGTATATTTCACTTAACATAGAAAATTGCTAAATGTGGAACCATGTGAAGCAAGATATGTTCTCGGATCAGTTAGGTTAGATTAGGTTAGTTTCTTGGAATGGGAATGCAGACGGAATGATGAGCCCCTCTCTACACGGTTTTTTAGAGTAAATGTAAACAATGAAATATAAATACACAAGTAAGATATAACGAAAATATGAAATTTCAAAATCGCGTATCTCAGGAACCAAAAGATAGTGCTACCAAATTCAAACGATGTGTCTGTTATTAGGAATGTTATTTAGGAAGTTTCTTCTACAATATACTGTATGTTGGAATAAAAATTATGCGTGAGATATCCCCTAAAATAAATATTTATCAATCTTTTTCGTTATTTTAAAAACTATACCAAATAAAACAAATTAAATATTGATAAGCAACTTCATCCTACAATAAATGTCAAAGGTAAATGTCATCGGTGAGGAAAGGGTATTCGTTGAAGTAAATAATTATCCATGATTAATTATAATGTAGTCAATGGCAATATAATCAATCTTAACGCATAAGTACTCGTACCGTGATCAAATAACAGCAATTAATGAATTCATGGACAATCACAACATGACCAATCAAGTGATCGATTATAAAGAAAGATAATAGTTATAATGTATAAATTGCAACATGGTCTCTCAATGTTAATGTACAGTGTGCATCAACGATCCTATCCTACACGGAGCAAGGCAAGCGTAGAAGTGGCCAATCAGCCGGCACCATGGCAGTGGCTGATTGGCCAGTTCTCCCTTTGCCCGGCGTAGGACAGGATCGTTGATGCGCACTGTACAGTGCGCGACAATGATTCGTTCCATGACCTCTTTCGCAAGCAAGGGGAACATAGAAGTATAGCCATAGCGCCATCTACCGACAATGGCTGATTGGCGCTGATTTATTGATTTAATTATCGATCGTCGGAAAGAAATGCGCTAAGTAAAAATATATGTATACGATTTATAGCAATAATCAAAAATGTTAAATCAGAAATAACATTAAAATGATATTATTACATAGAAAATCTAATATTATATTTAACTCTTTTGTACATATATGTCCCTACGAAAAAAATCATAACTTTTAAATAATTTTTTATAGCTTTCATGCTACAGTCATAAAACAGTAGCTTTCACAATTGTGTACTGCACCGTAGAACATTGTCGAACTATAAAAACTAAATTTAATTGTTTAATTAATAAATGGCATTCCGAAAATTTCAGTCCGTATGTACCTGAAATATCGGTAAAGTAGAGTGGAAAAAGCAGTGCATGTTCTTTATAAATAACGTGATAGAGAGAAATACGGGATGAAGATTAGATGAGAGCGCTGTAATCATGTACGAGTTTGTCGTTCAGTTTAGGATCCTCTTAAAGTTTTATTTAAATGTAATTATAACTTTATTATAATAAATATTGTAATAATTTATATGTGTAATTAAAATGTGCGCGAAATAAGACGACGCATGTGACAACGCAGACATCCGAAAGAATCTCGCAGCAGATGTGTGGTTTGCAAAAAAAAACGTGTTATAGGTAATATAACAACGCCGCAAGTTGAGCGTGTGTATGTATATTAAAAAAAAACATAATATATATTTAAAAAAATAAAATTCAAGCCCATATTTTAAATATATCAATTTTTTATAGATCACATTTTGTATATGGATTTTGTATAATTTGGAATTAGTACCTTCAAAAACTTATAAAAATAATACTGAATAAAATAAAACTTCATATAAAACGCATTTCTTTTGGAAAAACTAGAGATGCGAAAGGGTTAAAATATTGTAGCATCCTTTTTGTGACGATCAATAATTAGATCGATAAATAGGATTACTTGACTGTTGCCGGCTGATGGTACTATGGCTACTACGTTTCTCTTATTCCGCGAGAGGAGACGGAATGAATTATTGTCGCGCATCGTATGTTAAACTACAATAAGTTACAAATTTTAAAATTTTTATCACATAAAATAAAAGCAAGTATAATGTGTGCAGTCCAAAACAATGCTGACTCAAAAACTTGAGATTTTATATATCCAAGATGTTCAAAAAGTAACATAATTTTCTATTTTGAACAAAAAATTATGATTTTTTCAGCATACGGATATTTTTATGCAATTTTTACAATTGCTGTAAAAATTTTTCAAGAATTGATAGATTTTTGTTTTTATTCGTTACTATTTTAAAACAATGCATCACATTAATTTTGTGTAAAATCTTTTCTTTTAGAAGAACTTTAAAACGAACTTACAATTTAAAGAAAGATGCTGTTTTAAATTATTAATCTCCCACCTTCTCTATGAAAAAAAAGTTATGATTTTTTTTGTATTATTTTTCAAAAGCCTTGGCATGAAAATAGGTTTGTTTTTTATTCCTGCACTGGCTGCACTAGTTCAAAAAGTGTACACTAAAGCGTTCGTTATTCCAGAACTAGTGTAACCGATACCGTTCGTTATTCCAGTGCAAGAAAACTTAGTGCACGAGTTCACTGAACTGGCTGCACTAGGTCTGGAGGTAGTGCAAGCAGTGTAGAGCAACCAAGGAGGTGTTTTTTATTCCTGCACTGAATATAGTCGGCAATTTCAAAACTTAAAGGTTAATGTAAGTATAAAAGTAGAAGTTTTTTTAGATCAAAAAAAATTTTACAAAATTTATATTTCAATATATATATATATATATATATATATATATATATATAATGTTCACAATTTATATAGTAAAAATCGTTACCAGTTACTGTTGAGTAAAATATAAAATTTGTAAGGTTAGAAAATCTTAATCTGTGAAATCTAATAATAGTAATTTTAATAATTTTATTTGAAACATATGTATGTATAATATTATGTATAACATTATGTATAATGTGATGCGCCATATTTTTGCACTGCTTTACGCTAGTTTACACTGTATCGTTTTCTACTCCCGTCTGCACTCTCAGTTCTCGCTTGCACTGGCTCAGTTCTAGTGCAGAACTAGTTCAGTTCAGTGTAGGAATAAAAAACAAACCTAATGCTAAAAATCTTTGATTTAAAATAAGAATAAAAGAAATGTTAAATAAAAGAATGTTATTTACTTTTTGAACATCCTGTATCCTTTACTTTTTGAATACCCTGTATCCCTTACATTCTGACGCATTGTATCAGAAAGAGAAACATATATAACTCTTTTCGATTGAGTAAGTATCCGTTTATGCTATGATAGTAAAGTAGGATTTTACGCGGTAGATCCTTTAGTAGTTTCCTACTGTATCGACTATCGCAAACTTCACTATAAGCAAACGCCATGCTACATATGCAATATTGACTAGAAAACACAATGGTTACGTTATCGATTTTTGTAAGAACGAATTTGTGAAAATTAAACTCATACATCAACTATAGATAATTACCATTTAATATTTACACAACCATTGAATTTTATGAATGCAGCATTACTACACATATTATCATAAATTAAATTAAACTTTTATAATTAAATTCTTTGTTAACATGCAATTTAAGATATATTTATTGATATTTTGCATTAAATATTTTGATTATAAATATTTTTAGATATTAATGTTTAATCTTATATAAGAATGTCTTAAAGATTTAATAAAATATCACATTTATCAACTACAATTATCTTCTTCACAATAAACACTTGTTTACATGTTATGTACCAAATTACTATTTCAATAGCCAAAATGTCACTTTTCATCATACTTAAAATGATTATTATTTCTGAATGATTTTAAATTTGTTAAAAAGTATTAATATAAAAACATTTTGTCTATATAGCAAAATTGAAAATAATAATACTACCGTAATGTTCATATATATAATATATATATATATATATATATATATATAATATATATATATATATACACGAACATTACCATATATATAATTTAATAAGTGATTAAATACATACAAACTGATTTAATAATTAAATATATCTAAATTGATAAAAATAAGTTTGATATGTTTGCAAATAATTGAAAATACACAAAATTTATATTAAATCCAAAACATTCTCATATAAGATTAAGCGTTGATATCTAAAAATCATTTACAATTAAAATGTTCAAAATAAAATTTTAAATTGCATGGACATATTAACAAAGAATTTAATTATAAAAGCTCACTAGCTATTTATTGACATATAATTGCAAAAGTACTTACTGATGGATTTGTGAGTACAGCATCCAGTACTCTCTCGTATAACAGAACTCTAGCCATATCACAATGTTCGCAATACGCTTACTCTTCCTGTAACATTATAATTCAAATTATATATTATATTATTAAAATTCATCAAGCAGAAGCAATGTTAAAAACTATTCATGTAGGCAAATACAATTTAGTTTTAAAATTAAAAACTTAACAAGTTAATAGAATGACCACAATTAATGCTATATAAATATAGTATCAGAAGAAATTATTTATGCATTGAATATAAGATTATGCACATTTTACATACAAAAATAATCTTAAAATTTTGATGGGATACAAGCATGTGTTCATATTATACATCAATTCAATGTTGTGCAAAATCTAATTTATATTACATTTTGAACAAAAAGAAGTGAATTCTTTATATTTATCCTCCAATATATATTCATTTTGTATAAGATATTGGTTATAAATTGACGTGAATATTATATTTTGAACAAAAAGAAGTGAATTCTTTATATTTATCCTCCAATATATATTCATTTTGTATAAAGTATTAGTTATGAATTGACGACAAGATAATAAAATCGATATAAGAAAATCGGCATGATGTACCTGAATATAAACGTATTGGATCATCGAAGGGAAGAAGTAGCATAGATGTAGTATATCGATTTAAAACCACTAGTATTACACTGCAATCACAGTTTAATAATAAAGTACAATATTGTATTGTTAGTATAGAGATAAATCACTGAACAATTCGGAAATATTTTAACACAAGTACGTTCGCGCACAACACTGCTCACGATCGCCAAGCTACAACTGTTACATAAAATGGCGGCGCAACTGACAACGAGGCTAGCGGGGCTAGCCCGCTGACTAATGCTACAGCGCAGTTGACTCAGTCGGTTATATCGAAGTTCGTTACCGTCCGGAATGGAATGTTCTCGAAATGCGTGTTCTCTATCTAAATCCTATTTTTGTGTGTTGCTGAGAAGGAACCAGAAGGATTTTATTCACTTACTTTTTGATCTATTATTTTTATCAGTTGGTAACTAAAAAATTGAAATTAATCCTATATATATACAAACTATGCCAATTTAACTCGTAAAAGAAGAGGTTATATTAGACACAGTCGTGCTAGAACGAGGACACTTCTCACGCCCACAATCAGAGAGCCACGTCAGCAGAGCCACGTCAGAGAGCAAAGGGTTCTGCGTAGTAGCTATGTATGGCTCTCTGATTGTGTGCGTGGGAACTGCGTCATCTTCCTGATATCACTGTTTGGAAGAAAGCAGAAACAAAATCCGATATCCAAAATAATTGATTATGAAAAATAACATTTCTTCATAATCATGATAAATATTTAATTAATACTTAGTTAACTTATTTATTGCAGATTTTGACAAAAATATATTTGACAAAAAAAGTTAATATTTCCCAATAGATAAAATCATTGAACTCTACACATACTGGAATGAGTCATTCCTTTGTTTAAGCATGGTGGGGCGTGGCACAGATTGCCGTGCGGAAAAGATAGCATAGGGTTAGGTTATACCTTTCTCGTTTCAACGTATAAGAATGTTTCGATATCTCGCTAGTGCTGAAAATCTCTCATAATGCACGTGACGTAAACTATAGATTTTCACTACTGGCAAATCTATAGTTTACGTCACGTATAATATAGATTTTTAGTATTGGCAGTGTTTACTAAAAACATTTGCCTCAATTAACTTCAATGTTGTTGATACCGTATGGCACAATAAGTATTATTAATAGTAATTATTTACAAGAATATAATTATGGTAAATTGGCATTTCAGAAGAAACATTTAATAAAAAACTAATAGACACTAATAGAAACACTAATACAAACTTTCTAATTCTTTCCGTTTTTAAAATAATTATTTAATTTAATTTTTATTTTATTTAAAATAATTATTTTCTTTCTAATTCTTTCCGTTTTTAAAATAATTATTTTACATACATTCGACAACAGGAATATTTTAATACAAGCAATACATAAATTATTTCCCATTTGTCCGTCTAATTTCAAATAATCTGTTTAATACTCTGAAAAATCCAGATTAGTCCTCCCAACAAGAAATCTAGATTATTTAAAAAATTATTTTAAATTAAGTCAGTTTATCAGAAAACTAAAGAAAAAAGAAACATACACTTTTTGAATCTTATATTAGTATCAGGATTTTATGTTAGTACAGTCCTTTATATTCACTTCATGATTTTTCCCATTTGTCCGTCTAATTTCACATAATCTGTTTATTCTGAATCCATGAAAAAATGAACACGAATTAGTTAAGTTTGGTGTCGCCGCGTAGCGGCAAGCGAAGAAACACGTTATACATACACACTATTATATATTTTCGCTATTTTAAAATGTTGCTGCAACATTACTAAAGTAATATTGTAAATAATGTCTTTGTAATGTCTTTATTACATTACACTGTAATGTTGAAACATTATAACAATGTTGAAACATTGTAACAATGTTGCTGCAACTCTCTGTGCTGCATGGTTAGTTTTCCGTTTTATGACAATTGAACACAGAAAGATATATCCAATTATATATAAAGATTAATGTAGCTCAGTGATGAGATTTACTTGCAACTTTCGACCAAAGTTCTTAGCTTACTGTGCGTACTGTTCCCCTCTTACCGCTTGCGCCTTAGCGATCACGCCACTGGACGCTCGTAACTAAGGAGCGCTCAGGAACGTGCGCATCACAAATGTAATGTGACAATCTATCTATCTAACAATAAATTCTCTTTATTGTTTATTAATACTAAAAATAATTATTCTATTCTTAATTACGTTTCAAAACACAAATATTTTAAATTGTTTTAGAACATATACGTAATTAATAATAGAATAATTATTTTTGTTATTAATAAACAATAAAGAGAACTTAGATAGATTGCCATATTACAACCTCACAAAGCACACAAAGATTGCATTCACATTGCAGCAATCTTTCACCGCAATATTGCAAATTCACTGCAAAATGTTGCTGCACCATTGTTGTGGGATTGCAGTAACGTTAAAATGTCCGCTTTTAGGAATATTGCAATGTAAGATTGTAGCAATGTTAGGGTGCAACGTATTTGTAATATTAAAACGCGTTTTGCTACAAATACAGACACCGTTTTAAATTTAATAAATAAACTTTGAAAATATAAAAAAATGTTTAAGAAAGATAGGAAAAAATGCCTTTAAAAAAACATCTATTAGTATTTTTTATTAGATGTTTCTTAAATATTTATCTCAACAATATACAAACAATTATTTTACATACATTCGACACCAGAATATTTTAATACGTGCAATAAATGAAGTATTTCCTATTTACCCATTTAATTAAGAAAAATCTGTTTAATATTCTGAAACTCAATGAAGGATCCAAATTATTAAATAAATTATTTATTTAATAATCTAGATCCCTCATTAGGATTCAGAATATTATAATATAAATAAACCAAGTCAGTTTATCACAAATTAAACTGACACAAGACAAGAAATAGAATTACTACATTAGTCCTTTGTAGACCTTATATCCACTTTAGAGGAATTCGAATACGAGTTAGTTAAATTGGGTGTCTTCGCGTAGCGGCAAGTACAAAGAAACACATGTTATACATTTTCGCTATGTTAAAACGTTGCTTCAACATTGCCAAGGTAATATTACAAAATAATTCTCTACATTATTTCTGCAACATTGCACTGTAGTGAGCAATGTTGTAACATTGCAACAATGTTGATGCAAGCTTTTGTACTGTATGGGAAAGCACACGTTCCTAAGCGCTCCTTAGTACAAACATTTGGCGGCGCGGTCGCTAAGGTGCGAGCGGTAAGAGAGAAACAGTAGGCGTAAGTTAAGAAATCTGGTCGAAAGTTGCAAGTAAATCCCAGCACTGATGTAGCTAATGCTGTATGTATTTTATATATTTATGGATATTATATTAATATCGGATTACAATTCTTTCATTTATCTGTAAAGTCCTAGATTATAAGAAAAATGCTAATTCTAACCTCAGTGAACTTAAGATGGTGACGACAGCATAGAGGTTAGAATTAGCACTTTTCTTATAATCTAGGACTTTACAGATAAATGAAAGAATTATAATCCGATATTAATATAATATCCATAAATATATAAAATACATACAGCATATTAGCATATATTAGCATATATTAGCATCCCTAAGCACATGATATCATTCGAATATTCAATACTTATACTGTAAATATACATTACAGATATAATATATTGAGAATAATCCCATAACATCTCTTGTTGTATATTATTTTTCATATATTCTCAGAATATACTTTGAATATCTCGCGTATTAGTATATTCTTTCTCATATATTTTCCAGATATTCTATAATATTGCATGTGTTTCCTCATTTTGCCGCTACGCGCGCTACCAAACTCGTAGTTTAATTTTGGTGAAATGGACATAAAGGACTGGTATTTAACATGAGTTCTAAAGTTTCTTCTTTTTTCTTTTTAGTCAGTTTAATTTATAATAAGCTGACTTAATTTAAAATTTGTTTAGTAATTTAGTTGTTCTGGATTCTTGATTGGGATTCAGAATATTAAAAAGATTATTTGAAATTAAAATGAGAAATAGTGTGTGCGTTTACGGCATTTATCAAAAGTATTTATATTACATATATGAATTATACTGCAAGATATTCTCAATATTTACTATTAACCAAAATAGGCGGACATTAGAGCATTCTTAGTATATACTTAATATATCATAGTATGTATCTCGAATGTTCTGAGAATATATGCATTGTACTTTTGCGATATTCTTCGAACATTCTCAGTATCTACATGTGCTGTTAGGGATATATTAGCATATATTAGCTATATTAGTGCTGGGATTTACTTGCAATTTTCGACCAGATTTGTTAACTTACGCCTACTGTTCCCCTCTTATTGCTTATATATATATATATATATATATATATATATATATATATATATATTATTGCGTCCGCGGCGACTCGCGAGATATATCGAACGCGCGCTTGACACAACCAAGAGCACTCGAAATAATAACACGGTTCTTTGTAACACAGAACTTTAATAAGAATAAGAAGCAACACAAGAACACAGACGATAACACAGAATGATAATTCCACGGCTCGTAAATCGAAACGCGTCCGTATAGCTTGACAGTTATTCTCCGACTCAAATGACAGCTGCTGCCGTCAACAATTTTTTCTTCTTCTTCCGTTTTGGCACTAGGCAACTTTAATCTTCCATGCTGCTAGATATCGTCAACAACTTCTTGACAACGAGATCTTCCCTTTTCAAGACAGACTCGACCGCGACTCAAACCAGAGACATAACAGTATATATATATATAGTTACGTCCCTGGTACTGGTGTACACACACACGCGCCGCGCGCTGTTTGTGTGTGTACACTACAACACATATATAAATATGCCCCGCGCGCGTGCGCGCGCGCACACACACACACACAGATAAATCTGAGACGGGACGGCATGTGGCTGAACAAGGCTCTTACTTGCCATATGAAGAATCGAGAGTTTAAGTCCCGCTAAAGTTAAAATTTATTTCTGCAATAAAGTCGCCCTAATCTCTCTCCTATTCCTTCTTCTATCTTTCCCCTTTTCTTATTTATGTCTCTTGATTTGTTATACTCTATTTGATGTGAGAAACTTTGCTGGTTAATACTCTATTACCAGTATGGGGCTGGATTGATTAAACTCCCATATTAAGAAGTCAGCGTTGGCCAATTAATTGAAAGAAGAAGAAGAAAGCGACTATCTCGAATTTACCATGCATATTGCTCTGATGCGCCGC